AATACGTTTCGCCACAGTACTGAGGGAGAGAATGTTAAATTTACGCCGGTTCACAGCAGGCACACTGTACATACCTTTCCGCACATAGATGTAGTATTTGGTCCGCACCAACTTGTGGTCAGTGCCACACTCAGCTCCACGCAGTACACGTGTCATGTGCACTTCACGGATATCACGATGACATAGTCGAGCAGGTGAGCGTGACCACTCCGTGGGTGCGTCCAAGTTGCTATATCGCTCGCACTCAATGCAAACCGAGTGTTCGTGATCGTTAGGCCTTGAGTGGCACACGGTGAGAGCAGCCTATCGTCGTTCGCATTTGCTGAACCAATGCCATGCGGACTGATGACATCCGTCCACACCGATGGATCACGCCCGAAGTGCGCGTTAAAATCGCCCGGCAGAAATAGTCAGTCACTCCTCGGCACAGAGCATATAACGGAGGACAACTGAGTTTAAAACTTATCCCTCGTCTCATCAGGATAGCACATGGTGGGACTATGCTTGCTATTTAAGTGACAAACCTCCAAGTAGCAGACAGAGAGTCATCAGTCGTGCGCTAATATCTGTCGTCTCTGCCTCCAGCTGGACATTTAGGAGGTCGGATAGTGTAAATTCAACCCCATATTCACCTTTCCCACCCAGCCTCTTGTTACCTCTCTTGGTCTGCAGGCCGAGTCCTACTGAGTGAGACAATGTCATCCCCGTAGCTCGCGAGTTTCATCTGGACGAGTGCGGTGCGTTGCTCGTGGCGCTCACTCGTGTTCTGGTCGAGCAGTAGGAGCACGTTCCAGAACCCGATGCTGAGCACTTTGCACGGAGGCATACGATTGTTGTGTTGACCTGTATTGGAGGAACTACTGGATTAGGTGAAAAGAGGGCAGAGAGAGTATGTGGGAGGGAAGAACGGAGGTCTCGACGATAGGATATTTCCGCTTATTCATCACGCTGTACGCAGCAGATGAGACTTTTTTTTCCTGGTCCCACTGTGCGACGAACGTTGAAGTATGGGTTTATTATATCTTTGACGATTTATAGTTACTTGTTGTACTGGAATGCTGGCGGTGCATCTACACCTGGACAGGTGAATGACTCGGGTCCTCAGTCTAAATCTTCGATAAAATTTACACTTGAAAGACAGCGAGCCATGTGCCATGAGTCGGTGACCCGACTCACGCTTAATTGTGTGACATGGTTCTTAGCTAGAAGAAGGGTGTAACCCAAATCTCACCCAGCGGTCGCTCCGAGGTGGCATACAGGATATGAGCCAACGGCGCAACATTAAAAACAGCAGATCGACTATCTGTCACGATCTTGCCATCACAATACTTAGTACTTGGAATGCTTGAGCAATACGTTTCCACCAGGGAGAGATAAAAAACCCATTTCTGTAACTTTTTGCCAATGCTACCAATTACATGCGTTTAACAATACAAAATGTGCGATCCTCAACCATCTGCGCTTCAACGCAATTCAGTACTAATAACTAGAAATTCATTTTAGATATCTTACAAATCTGGCTTCACAAATGCACTTGCATAGACTAATGGCGTCTTCATCATCTTAGTATATGACACGTGCTTCAGAAAAGCTTACCAACAGGAAATTGTGACATAAAGGTTTGGGGTAAACACGAGCACAGTACGTGGCACGGATGAGTGGGTTTCATGCGCGATCATTCACACCGATGTTCCACCGATGTGAGTCACTGATAGTATGGTAGTACTGTCACATGTAGCAATCATGTGTTGGCTTATGCTAGTGTTCAAACTGTTTTGGGCCATGGACAACACCACATGCAGTATCGGATCTAACCTTTTGTCACAACTCGTGTTCTATACGCTGTACCAAGCTAATTCGGTCGCCGTCGGGGGACCGGCTGAACGGATGTTGCGAGTCGTGGTTTGATGACCCCTGCTCTACGTGGTCGCTCCACCGACCTCTTATCTTGCATTCGTGCAGAGGTTTAGCTTGCAACTTCTACTTCCCTAATTCCATCACATGACCGCTTATGTATTTGTGCGTCCTTGCATTATCTGGGCCCACGCACGACCACTTGTGCTTGGTATATCAGCGAAGCATCAACACTTGCTGCTACTGGAGTATCGATGACAAATTACCCTCAGTGTTCAGTGGGCACCCGACAGCCATCTGGGTCTATTCAGAATCCTGTTGATCAACGGTTTGCTCCGACTACCTACTATCAATCATGCGACGTCAAGCTGTCCGCTTTAATTCGGTCTGGCTCTCACTCCAAGCAGCGCGTGTGATTCCCCACGTTAGGCAGTAGAGATATTAAGGCACCTCTGCAGTAGTGGTTTGGTCAGAGCAACTATGTCTCGTAGATCATTGCCCTCATTTCTGGCCACGTACTCTCTCCTGACCTTGATGCACTACTGGTTAACCCAGTCACCAATCAGTATCCTCGGGTTACAGAAGTGGCCAATCAGCATCACAGAGGCGAATCATGCAGGCATTCGGATGCCTAATGTACACATTGTTATCCCTCACATTGGGCATGACCGTCATTATGTGACCGCACTGATAGGTTAACTACATGTGGCCACGCCCCACTCAGTTCCCTCCATTTTTTGTATCAAGGGATCACAGCCAAGGAAGTCGTTTGTTTTGTCTCACAGCAACGGCATCCTTATCTTTTGGACATCTCTGTCTGCAGATATCTGTTTGCCCATCGTTTCCGGGAGTTGTTTTAAGCACACGCTAGTGCATCCCGTGGTAACGAAGCCTCAGTTATACTACTATGTCCCAAAATTAAGTTACTGATTTTTCTATATACTACTTGACATAGTAACACCACATTGGTGGATGTCGATGTACCGGTAGAGATCTTAGCTGCGTGTCTGGACTTGTTACAATGCCATTAGCTAAGTCATTCCTGCGCTACAGCAGTTTGTGTAAAGTCGTGTGTTAATACCAGCTTACGTTTGTGGTGAGGCAAAGTGCCGAACAACAGTATGCCATCACATTTTGTGTGATACTCAAGTAGCCTGCCACCGAGACATTTGAGCTTTTAACGGAAACTTATACAGATACCACTCTATCGAGGGATATCGTTTTTAGATGGCATAACGCTTTCAAAGTGGGTCGAGAAATTTTTGAAGACTACTCTCTTTCCGGAAGGCCTTTCTTGTCAACAAACATTCAAAATCTGAGAGTTGTGTGAGCTGTGCTGGTGAAAACGATGATTGTCGTTCTCTTCGACAGGCGTGGAATTGTGCACAAAGAATTTGTACCATCAGGACTGATAGTTAGTCAAGCATTCGGCAAAAGTGTCTTGGAACGATTTCGACATCGGGTTTATCCAGTCTGAAGACACATTGCTGATGATTGGGTGCTGTACCACAATTACGCGCTTACTGACACTGCACTTTCATTTTGAGAGTTTAGGCGAAGAAAAACACCTCCACATTACCACAGCCTTCCTACACCCCTAACCGAGTTCCTTGCGATTTCTACCATTTCCCTAGGTCGAAATCTAAGTTGATAGGTCATCATCGTGGAACTGTGAAAAACATCGAAAAATTGTGACGAATGGATTTAGCCCTCTTACGAAAAGTGACTTCAGTACTGCTACGACCAGAAGAAAAGCCGTTGAAAGCACTGTGTATCTTCCCAAGTGTCATACTTTGCAGTACATAACTTGTAATTTCGGTTAAGTCTTATATACATTTAAATTGAGTGTTGAACTGTTCGCTGAGCTCAGCAATTTTGTTGCAAACGTTTTGTTACCAATCGATGTCACATCATCAGTGCGTAGTTGAGTGGCGCGCAGTAGCGTAGAGGAGCCTCGGTGAGATTTTTTCTTGGCCCGCTAGTTTTGATATCCCGCTTTTCCTCGATATTGTATTCATGTAATCTTCACGGTACCGTTCAAAGGTGTTCAAGTCACCAGCAATACGCTGGTATTTCGCAGAAACGCTTCGTTTCCCCGCGGCCACCAGCGATCACTTGCGGGCTTGGAAAACTTCGAGACCATTCGCACCTAAGCACACTTGAACTGAAAATCCGTGGACTACAATCCAGACACCTGAACCACTCAGCTACCAGCCAGCACGCAACGCTTTACTTTACTAGATCAGCTGTCCACGCTAGTTTCTTTCTTTCGTGTTTTAAGGCACTCACCTATGCCCCATGGAATTCGCGTGTACCGTCACTTTAGGGCCGGATTGATATTCCGACTATAGTATCTGTTTTCATTCGAAATTGAGACTTGGAATTTCGACGTCGTAACTTTTTTTAAATTAACTGGCGTTCATTCTCTTTATGACTTTTCCATAAGCTATTTTTTACGAGATTGACAGCCGAACATTTTTAGCCCCTACCACTTTGCGTTTTGTTTATCTCATCTTTCTACCTTTATTAATGTGTTGGTAGTTTTCTTGCTGTTCATCTTCTGCGCGCTCCACGTTTCGCTTAATCCCCTCTCTGCCGTCTTTCCATTGGTAATCGTCCGCACTGGGTCATAGTGCTGTCGGATGTTTGGCGACTTAGCGAGAAAATTGGTAGCTCCAGGAACCACCCATGTTTTCTTCACGTTACCTAACCTGCTGATGAGGATGCTCCACATCGCAGTTAGTACTCAGTCCCAACGATCTACCCCAGTCACTCTGGCTTAAGCCGCCTTCTCAGGTGGATAGGCACGAGTTCAAACATCGTCGGATTCGAGGGAAATGCTCGCCTTTAAGAAGTCGCGGCAGACGATATAGGCACTCGGCAGATCTCTGAGTGCTTGATCTCTGGTCTCGACAAGTCTTGTCAAAATGGCATTCCTTCTGCTCTTGTTGTATTAAGACCTTTTTTACGCCTTCAGTAACCACCTCGCTTACCTGTTTTTCACCACTCACGCTGCCACCTGCGACGATTTGCCTTCTTGCACAACTTTCATTCACTACCTGTTTCTTTTTTAACCGTTTCATTCGAGATTGATATGCACCAACTCAAGATACCCAAATCTACATTTCTCATTCCACGCTTTGTAGATCGTGGTTGCACCATCATTGCCGGATGGTACCGGACCAGACTTAAGCCGCGTCGTACAGCGCGACGTCGGTTACGACACCCTATCACCATCTTTGGGCATATCCAATGCCGGCGGAAAGCCACTGCAATCCTTCGATTCTGACCTAAGCGATTCGGATTGTGATGCGGAATTGGAGACGTCAGATTTACCTCACGCGGAAGGCGAGTCAAAGGACGAGGAACTGGTCCACACCTCCGACTCTGATGTTGACAATCGTCAGGAAACAGAGAAAGAACCACCTCCGAAACCATCACTTCCGGATGTTGTTTCCCTTCGCGGAGGAAAACGACCCTGTTAGTGAAACTTTCTGACACCACGTTTGTTTCTACACCATTTTGTTTCACTTTGCAACTCGAGATCCTGTTCGTGTTTTGTTACTTTACTGCATACAATATTTTTTGTATTTGACATCACTTAGTGGATTACTTGTCTAGCTCATTGCTTTCCTCGATCCATGACTCGATATGACTAGACTATACGCGGTTGTTGATAAACTTCTACCATAATATTTTTTGTTCGTCGCAATCAGCCGACAATTCAGATATGTCAACTAGCTATCCGGAAAAGCACCAGACGGCCGTTTCACCCTATTGGGGCTCATCAGTGGTGCGCATCCTTCGGTCCTCCGGATAGCTAGTTGACATATCTGAATTGTCGGCTGATTGCGACGAACAAAAATTACTCACCAAAATCCTTCCACTCATAAGTAATACCAATTCGCCCTTACGAATTCCACAAAATGCTATGTCGATTCATAGCTGCCGTAACCGGGAAGTCCTGACGCCGGAAGGCCAACCGCTGTCATCTGCATGGCAGTGGAGGATGGGTCGGGCTATACCGCATTTAGCTAGCAATTCGTGATGGTCGGATACCGTCCTCCATGGCGCAGTTGCATAAGCTGCGGGATAGTTGACAAGAGCCACTAGCAGTCATGGGTTCGATCCTCCGCAGAGGACCGAAGGATGCGCACCACTGATGAGCCCCAATAGGGCGCAACGGCCGTCTGGTGCTTTTCCGGATAACTAGTTGACATCTCTGAATTGTCGGTTGATTGCGACGAACAAAAACTACTCACCGAAATCCTTCCACTCATAAGTTCTATCATAATAATAATGTTTATTTTGCAGCAAGTTGATACACGGTCCAGTGAACCTAGCCCGGTCATTATGCACAGGTTTTACTCAAAGCTGTTGTTGCAGCTTGGTTGTTCATCAGTTGCGAGGAGTTTTGTTTCGAATGTCTCCAGATAGCAATTGAATATTTCCTCCGAATGTGTGGCAGTCGTTTTAGCGTAACATCGCACGAATTGCGGTCCAGAACGCCTTAAAGTTGAAAAATGTGTCTGAGTCTGATCTATGATCAGACTCCATGAGGAGTTACAAAATGACTTGTGGATTATCCAACAAAAACTTACAGTTTCATATACACTACACAGCGAAATGGGTCCAGTTCAGTGGGTCTTAACCTTTTTGTGTTTGTTACCCACAAATCGGGTTCACTATAAACAGTTACCCCTCAAAACTTTTAGTCTGAAAAGCTAATCACCTATTAACTATCTCATTTTTTGCCTTAGCTTACAGAAAATGTATACTATTTTTAATTACTTTCTGCCATTCGAAGAAAAAAGCACCTATTTTTGAGCAATTTTTACACAATCAAGAGCTTATAAACATTTATGGTACAGTTGACATTCATTGGTGCGAATAATTTCTGGTATATTTGGTGCGTTTTCGGCTAATGCAAGTCTTAATACGTGCTCCACGATCCTTGCTTTGGCGTGTGATCTCTGAACATGAACAAATGTCAGTGGCTTCTCATTTGTTTCAAACATTCGCTCCACCTCCTTCCTGGATGACAACTTCGCACCACCATTCTGTAGTAATACATCCTGAACACCAATCGCCTGTTTTGTCTCTTCTATCTTGTAAACGTTCGCTCGCTCCTTTGCTTGGTCGGCCGATCTATGCTTCCACTCAACTCCTTAACTCGACCCGGGAAACGACTGGCTGGTTCAAAAGAATAACGATCGACGAGCGTGCAGTAGAGGCCACATTTAGCGGCGCTGTTTTGCAGGCTTATGTTCGTATTTTAGGTAATATGATTTGTTACCGAAAATTGTCTAATTCACACCACTTACTAATGATTAGTCACTGCTGGCTAATCAACAATGGTTTGGTAGTTAGTTACGTGTTTTGCTACAAATGATTTTTTACTTTCGTTCGGCAACAGATTGATGACCCAATCATGGTAAAATTCCATTTTACCCCTTTTGGGGGGTAATTAGCCCCAGGTTAAGAACCACTGGTCTAGTTAGTAGGAAGCTTTACCGCAAACCGACCAACGGCAAAATCTTACGCAAATACATTGTATTTCTATGTCGCCAGTGGGGTTTGTGATTAGTGTGCACGATGAGGGGGGTTACTCATGACAATCGAGTTGTATACTGAGCAAATGCATGACCTTGACTTGATAAGCCAACAACACTTGGAAATTGGGCTACGCGGGCAATCAGGCTAATAAAAGTGCAATGAGTTTTTACTGGGTGTTAAACTAGGCGTGACAATCATATCAGTGCTATCCGTGTGTCCATCGCTTCACTAACGAATGAGGAAACCAAATAAAACCGGCACGAAGTGTTGAGGTGGGTTTAAGTCGTAGTGAGATGACCTGGGTGTTCAACCTACCAGCGCGAATAGCAAATGTTCAAGCTGGTGAAACGCAGGAGATATCATGATTGGAGAGAGAGAGAGAGTTAGTTGGATTTGGGAGTCTAGCCAACTAATTTGTCAGTGATTCAACAGACACATGGAAACAGTGGAGTCAAATAAGATCCGGCGAATGTATTGAGGGCTAAAAAGTATTATAACAAACGCGTGTATGTCTGACTCACAAGTGAGGCCTTGTAGTCAGCAGTGAGCCTTCGGATCAAGTAGAACTGCAGAGGACAATAGGGGACAAATGGAAATTGAGCCACACTGGACCTCATTTATCAAGACGCAGAGGAATCACTAGCACCAAGCAGGTCATTGTCTACAAGTCAGGAAACCGTGTTTATTATTATTATTATTATTATTATTATTATTATTCAGCTATGGCTGGTCATGAACTTGGCTTCGTTGTCCTAAAACAGAAAGAGTTATTTCTATGCTTCTTTGTTGAGACACTTGCGCGGTACTTTTTCACCATCCGGACTCAATTCGGTACCATGACCTTTAGACTGAGATGCTTTCTTCATCCCCTAATCTGTCCGCATAGCCACTTTAGCACACTTGTCACAGTGAGTTCTGCTCTTTTCCCCACCTCATTTACAGTGAGCAATTACATGTTCCGATTCGGCTCCACTTTGTACAACGATGCGGATGTGGATGCCAACCTTCCGGATCGACTGCTCAGCTTCTTTCGCGACGGATGGCACAAATCTGAATCGGCTGAAGGACCACATGCACGTTCCAAAGTAATGTCCTATGTGCAATCGTACGAGCAGCCAACAACCACCGGCGAGGTCATTCGTCGATCCACGTGTGTTGAGCACAAATGCACTGTGCGTATTGTGAGTCCCCGCTTGGACTGATATCTACGCTGTCCACTATCCGATTACTACTACCAACCATCACAAACGGTGTACTTTGACGTTATGCGATGGTTGTACGCCTTCATTCTGATCCACTAAGCTACTCCCGGTGGAACTTTCCTTATGTTTCCGAGTCATTGGTTGGATGTTAGGCAAACTGCGTTTTAACATTTCTCTTCGAGTTGACGTAGGACTCAATGGCTCTTTTTGTGTAAAGTTGAATTTTGAGGAAATTGTCATGGTTGTGTGTGGGATGAGATGTTACCAAAGCGCCCACACCTAGACAGAAGGACAATTAGGGTCCTCAACCAGACTCTGACTCAAAAGGCTGTCCGCAAGGCAGCGGGGCATGGAAGTGATTTTGTTTTACAGAAATGGACGCCTTCCCATTTCAAACCCCCAACCTACAGGACCAGGAGACTGTGTTTGTCTGACCTCTAATCTGGTAGGAGTAGCCTTCAAGGGGTCCGGGGGCACAATAGGTCAAAGATGTACGTAAGCCATCGAGCCATGTTAAGGTCCAGTCTGGTTGCGATGGAGTGCGATCTCGATGTTGTGGTGCTGCCTGGTGAAAAGCTATTTGATCTTGATTATGCTGGCGATATAGTCTTGCTATTGACGATCTTGGGACGGGCCAATCAACCCTGAACAACCTCTCTAAAGTGGTCCTATTCTTTGGTATACGTATCTCACCTTCAGAGTACCACTTGATGATCCTTTGACCCTAGATGGTGAGAAATTCGAGGTAGTTGATCAACTTCCCTACCTTGGCAGCTGTATCAGCAACGATGGGTGCATAACAGCTGAAGTCAGTTCACATATTGCAAATGTTAGGATTACCTTCTTAAATCTGCGACCTTTTGGCGTCAGAAAGGAGTTTCTTTCCGTTTGTAAGGCCGTGTTTGCTAGGCGACAGTGAGCGCCGTCCTACTCTATTGAAGCGAGACTCGATCCTTTCGGTTTGAAGGTTTGAGGCACATTCCAGTTTTTGATCATCGCTGTCTCATGTTGGGTGGCAGCAGTATGTCCGCAACGATGATGTACGTAGAAGAGTGCTAGGCATAGCAAAGCTGATTCCTTAGAACAACAGATTGCACTGAATATACTGCGTTGGCTTGTGCACGTGCCCGGTCACCGCTTATCAAGTAGGTCCCTGTTTTGTCTGCCAGGTGTATGGTGGCGCAAGGCTCGAGCTGGACAAACATTGACTTGGCAGTGGGAACTGAAGTCCGTCCGTTTCGCATTGTGCAGGACATGGCTCGCAGTCGACATCATTGGCGCGTCTGCTTCCGTTTCGTCTTCGGACTGCCTGTTTAAAGTGTGTTTGGTGCTGTTATCTGCGGGTTAATGGTTGATTGTTACGAGGACAATGAAATCTGTCTCGCTGATGCCGCCTTACCTTTACACGATAGCCAGCGGTTTGTGACGGTATGTTGTCTGCACAAGGTGTAGGCGTCTTGACCCTGAATGTTTGCTTAGGACATTAAAGTTTTCCGGTAAGTCCCCCTTCTCTTTCTCTTGTTTTTCTCTGTTCCGTAGGTCGTTATGGTTGTATGGCAGCGAGGTATCAATTAACATTGGTGATCTACTGCTGTTGATGATGATGATGACTTCACATCTTGTCCTTATGTGCACGATTGTTTTCCTTCTGTTTTTGTAGTTTTATTTTTACTAGTATTATTATGACGGTGCTAGTTATCGCAACTACATCCATCGCATATTGCACCTAGGTGCTAATCATTTACTTGACCATTTTGCACTAACTCCGGTCTGAATGCAGTCTGCCGTGACTTTTGCCCCCACCAGGCTCGCTTGCGGAACATCATCATCATTCTGCGTGTTAGTTGAAGATGAGCAGCACCTCAGCTAATGTGCCGCAGTACAATGTTAGCGATAAAAGTGCAAAAGCAAAAACAATAAAAAAGGAAACAAGCATCATTCTTCTACACATTAGCTAAAAGTGAGAAACACCCCAGCTATAATATATATATATATATATATATATATATATATATATATATATATATATATAGTGTCGGCCAAATCATTATAACTTTTCAAAATTCAGCAAACTCTTTTCTTAAAAGCCGAATGATTTAATTGCAAAGTGATTACATTTTCCAAGAAAAATATATATCAATTGGATATTCATAATGGCTCGTGTTTTGTAAACGGTCCTTTGGCAATTTCCAAGGAGTTATCTCGCAAAGGCATGGAGTGAATGAGTATTTTGCAATGTTCAGTCATACTTTCACTGCATACCCATGTCGCTATAATTTCTTCCATGATCTGCTGCTTATTTGTAATAATTGTTTTTTTCACCTCTGACTTTTATATTGCTCTTAAATTCTCTATTGGATTCATCTCAGAGCTATCACTAAACCATGACAACACTTCAGTACCACAGCCCTCTAGAAAAGGGGTTACTTCACTCTCCTTGTGATATCGAGCACTGTCATGTCCCCGTAAATCTCTTCTGCTTTGTACATTCACACAGTGAGGGTTCACTTGATGCTCGAGTAGTGTTTTGTACTGCGGCTGGTTCATGTTACCATGGGCGATGTAGAGCCGACCAGTTCTAAAAATGCTCATAATGCACCATACCATAACCTGAGTGGGATGCTTGACTCGTTGAGCGGTACGGTCTTCCCTCATCTGTTCGCCAGGTAATCACCGGGCATATAGCGATCGTTGGTCAGAGCACTGGGTGATACACTCATCGCTGGAAATCACCTAAAATAAAACACAGAAAAGCTGTTGGAAATACCCAAGCAATTTAGGCACAACTTTTCTTGAAAATCCTCATAAAAATAAAGCCTTTGCTTCTTACCTGCTCCCAGTCTTATTTTGACCATTTGTTAAGCTGTTTCGCACATTCTTGTCGCTTTCTTTCGTCTGTTTGGCCAACGTTTGCTTCCTCAGAGGCCTGCAAACCCGAAGCCCAGAATTCAAAAGTCGTCTTCATACAGTTTTCGAACTTAATGCAACACCTCGCTGTTCTAACATCCCTTTCAGCGATCTGCTTGATGCTTTTGGATTCTTTCGGCATTTCCCAAACAGTAGTGCATCATCTTGAGCAGTTGTTGCTCTTCTGCAACCACATTTAGCGGACCGTTTAGGAAACAGGGGTATATTCGTTTGTCATTTCTTTCGAATTTCGCATACAGTCGCTGGATTGACACCGACCTCGGCAGCACTTTCTGATGAACGCCTTTCAACAAAATTTCATTTTCTGCACCCTTGTCGCGTAATTTACTCATTACTATGCTAATACAATCTAGAGACTGTCGGTCAACACGGTTGTCGTTACTTGAGGGGATAGCTTGAAAAATAAGAATAAAGTAATTAAATATAATTATAAATTGATCCAACACCAGACAGATGTAATACAGAAATTTAGACTGCAGTAGTAAATAACAATTTAAGATAAAAATGTAACCTTTGGTTTTCATACCTATTGTACGTGTAGCATCAACCAATTTGTCATTATTTACAAAATACTAATCTTGGTGAATTTCTACTCAGTATTTTTCTTGTAAAATACCATCAATTTACAGTAAACTCACTTGATTCTTACGATAAACGTGAAATATGAGAATAATTTGCTGAATTCGATAGATTTATACTAATTTGACCAACACTGTATATTAACAATCTGTGTACAGATCATGTGCCATCAGAACCACGGCAAATTAAAGAGAGGAAACAAACTACAACATAAGAAAACAATTTTCGGTTTTACGCACGTCGTTCTGAACTTTCTTTGTATGTTTCAGATTCTTACGTTCGACGAGATGTTAACTAATAGATTACACGGTTGAACAGCGATCTCCACTGATGCCGGTTGCGCGCCATAGCCCCCAACAGTTCTAACCATTGGCAGTCCGAATCGCGTGGTCTCCATCCTAGAAGGCGGACCGGCCCGTTGGATGCTTAGCTTGAGGTTGCATTCTTCATGCTCCTTCTCCACATCATTGATTGTCCACCGCGGTCCTTTCTCTATTAGCTTCCGGGGAGCACAAATAACGCTCGACAGGAAAGACGATAGGCCCTCAAGCATAATAGGTGACCAAACCAACTCATGTGGTGTCGGAGAATAACCGTTTGGTGGCATGGGCTGTTTGCTCCAAACACTCGCTCGCAGACTTCTGCGTTACTCACGTGATGCTTTCACCACACGAAAGCAATCCTACGCAGAAAATATTCCCGCAGTCTGGCAGTTGTTTTATGTCTTCTAAGCGAGTCGGCCAGGTCTCACAGCCGTGCAAGAGGACCACACGGACTGTGGGAATGTACACTTTGCCCTTGAGTTTGAGACTGACGTCGCGACGGTGCCGTAAGTGTCTCAGTCTGATAAATACAAGGCGGGCCTTTACGATCCTTTGTAAGACCTCATCTCCAATGCAGCGAGCTTTGATGCAACTCCCTAGATAAGTTAGGCGGTGCACTTGTTGCAGGACGTCACTAGCAATGGTGAGGGCAGGCACTGGCATCTGTCAATCTTGGAGTAGTATTTTACCTTTGCCTGGTTTGAAACATAGGCCATACTTAGATGCCTCCATCGTAAGCAGTTCAGAGCGCTCTCCAAGCAAAGTGAACTCATCGCGACTCTCTCACCTGGGAGAAGCTCAATACCGCATTTTTGAGGGCCTTCCAATGCTCCTTGGACGATATCTTCAATGGCAAAATTGAAGAGGAAAGGTGAAATGAAGCAACCTTGACGCACGCAGCTGGTGACAACAAACCAAGTGGAAAGCGTGCCGTAGGCTCTGACGTGTGACTGGGGAGATCTTTCAGGATACTTACATACTTTTCTGGCACATCTTTCCTTAGTAGACAGTTTCACAACGCAAATCTATCTACTTAGTCAAAAGTCGCTCGGGTGTCCAAGAACACTACAATTGTTGGTCGTCGGTGAATGTGACGGAGTTCAAGCAGTTGGCCAGCTTGACTTAACCAACGTGGGTGATGCTCACTGA